TTTGGGACAACCATGATGTCAGGTTTCGGTGACGTCTTCAAATAAATTGCATTTCCAAACAAACAGTCTTTGATGAAATCTTTCATTTATTAAGCACGACAATCTGTCCCCGATTATGTCGTAGCCAACACTGACTTCCTGACCCCAAACCTTCCCTTTCCGTTCCCCAATTCTCTGCATCTCATTGGCCATCTTCCAAATCACTCTCCCCGTATCTACTACTTCAGCTCCCAGGAATGTCCCCCCTCCCATCTCATCTCCTAGGCGATATTATCTTCAGGGAAAATAAGTAGGTGAAAAGTCAAGCGTCCTCTTGCCAGATGCCCCCTCTTCTCCTCCTTATGTCAGCACTGGAACGAATGTAGTTTGGAGTGCTGACACATGAGCTGGATGACTGAGCATCTCCATAGACATTTCTCTGAAGATGTTTCACTTCTCATCCGAAGAAGCTTCTTCAGCTCTGACTGGATGGTGGAGAATGGAAGGATTTATATTCCTTGCAGACAGCTGGTCATTTGCATCCTTTTAGAGGGTCCTTGAAACACTTGGGAGTTTTATCTGTGTCCTCAGGGTCACCTGAGTAGTGAAAATGGTTCCTGTACTCTGCAATTTTTTTCCCCATGGAAATCCATTCCTACTCCCACACCATTCAAAGGGGGTTCATCCCAAATGGTATAGCTAAAAGTCTCTAGAGATTCTCAGCCATCCAAGTCATGGTTGTCCCAAAGATGCTTTTTTTCAGGAGGCAACTGGACTTCCTTGTTTTTTTCTTTGAAGACATCTCACTATCTTGTCAGAGCTGAAGAAGCTTCTTGGAGGAGAAGCAAAATGTCTTCAAAAGAAAAAAAACAAGACCGTCCAGTTGCCTCCTGAAAAAGCACCTTATGCCAAACTTCCTCACTTACAGGTAGCCCTTGATTGACCATGTCTTGAGTGACTGGTTGAAGTTATAATGGCACTGAAAAAAGTGACTTACGATCTGTTCTCACGCTTATGACCGCTAGGACGTCCTCATGGTCATGGGATCAAAATTAGGGCGCTTGGCAACTGGCATGAATTTATAATGGTTGCAATATCCTGGGGTCGTGTGATCGCCATCTTCCGACAAGCAAAGTCAGTGGGGGAAGCTGGATTCATTTAATGGCCACGCGATGCACTTACCAGTTGTGGTGATTCGCTTAATGGTGGCAAAAAGATAATAAAATCAGGTATGACTCACTTAACAACTGACTTGCTTAACAGCAGAAATGCTGGTCCCAATTGTGGACATGGATCGAGGACTATCTATATTGTTCCTAGATAAATGTCTGTCTCTTCCTTAGTGATTTGGCTCTTTTCCTATTTATACTGTATTTTTTGTCCTTGGGATTTATATTTTCACCCAGTTGCTTGGGCAGCCATTCCAGCTCTCTAATGTCTGTAGACATTTACCCATGTTATATGGTTGTAGCATTATTATCTTTCTTCTTTACTATCCCCTCTTCTTGGTAATATCATTATGATTATTACTTTATTGCTTTGTTCATGGAGAGCTTCTGCACCAGAAACAAATTCCTTGTGCGTCTAATCATACTTGACCAAATACTCTATTCCATTCCATTTTTTTCTGTTGTTGTTCTATTCTCAATATTCTATTCTATTCTATTCTATTCTATTCTATTCTATTCTATTCTA